TAAAAACTGGGACGATGTTCTGGCACCAGGCTCGAGTATCCAGAAAATTGCCGAAGCATCATATGCAGAAGTGTTTCGCATAACAAACCCAGTCGGGTCCTCAATTCTCAAACTTCTACGCCTTAAAGTTCCTACAGATCCCACGTCAAAGAAATCAAATACCGCAATCAAGGTGGACACTGTCGTATCTGAGATGCGTCTTATGAACGCCCTCACAGAGATCCCCGGGTTTGTAAAGTTCAAGGACGCGCACATAGTAGAAGGTAAACCACCAGCAGCGTTCGTAAAAGCATATGAAGGCCATTTAGACGCTGGTGGGGAATCGTATTTTCCACACCCGAACAAGATCTCCAAACACGCGGTTTTCTTGGCTATTGAACTTGGTGATGCGGGACACGTTTTGGAGAAATATCCAATAAAAAATGTCGATCAGCTGTGGGACATATTTTTAGGTGTCGTCATCGCTCTTGCAAGGGCAGAAATAGAACATGAATTTGAACACCGCGATCTTCACGAAAACAATATCTGTATCCTCGAACGCACACCCCCACTGTCTGCTCCTAAACCGAATTCAAAATCGAAATCAAAAACCAAGCCCCAAATTCTACCATCACCCCACAAATTTGGCAACTCAGGTCTCGAAATAACAATCCTCGACTATGGTCTGTCCCGCGCCACCATTTATCCTGTCTCCTCCTCTTCAAATCCTTCTCCAGTTCCCGAAACAGTTTTCTACAACCTTGAATCCGACACTGCTGTCTTCTCTTCTTTTGAACCCTCCACTATTGCCGGAGTTCAATTCGATACCTACCGTCGAATGCGAGCCTATCTCTTTTCTGGCGGCGTGTCAAACAATAACGCCAACACACCTTCAAAAGCTATACGTGATGCTATCAAACAAAAGAAACATTCCTGGGAAGAATATATGCCATATAGCAATGTGTTGTGGTTATACTTTTTGATGGAGTATCTGACGGAGGTGGCGCCAAAGGGAGGCAGGGGGAAACCGGGAAGGCAGGCATGGGTGAGGGAGACGGAGGAGTTGAGGTGGCTTTTAGATCCAGATTGGGTACCTGGACATGGTGGAAGTGATGGCAAAGGAGAAGATGAAGGCGGGGGTGAAGAGGAAGAAGAATTAGGATTAGGCTGTGCGGGAGATGTATTACAATATGCATTTGATATGGGGTGGGTTTGTGAGGAAGATTTGGGAGATGCAGACACAAGTCGTTTAAGTTTACGAGAAGATTCGTATGTTGGATTGGAAAAGGAAAAGAAATCTACGTCGCCTCCAGAATAGCCGAGGCTCTATTTTGTTTGGATGGGTATTGTGTTGGGGCGGCGCTTTGGATATCCAGGTATGGCATGGCTTTTGGTGGGATGGACCTGGATGGGTGGCGAATTATCTTTGTAGTGTCGATGACTCCATATAGGAAGGCTTCTATGGACTGCATGGAATGGGATGGCATGATAGAATAGTTCAGTTTGGCTAGATTTGATTCCCGCTTTGGTTCATGGAAATATATTGTCATATTGTATACGACGATGCCATTAATTGAATGGATCGATGCATAAATATGGACGCTTTCGCAGTTTTATGGTTGTGTATTGGAGATGTTCATCAAGTAAATAATCCGCGGTGGAGGGAAATTATCACGTGTGAAAGATTCGCTCCTAATGCCTTGAATACATGTGTATCCAAAGGAAAGTTTATCAAGAAATCTGCATCAAAACGTCATCAAATCATCTCAAGTCCTAGTTGATAAACACATCAATTGAGAAAAGGCCATAAAAATAAAACCGAGGACTTCTCAAGGGGGCTCATGCGGTAATCTTGAAATGTACGGAAATACTAGGCTCATATATTTTGAATACTGACGCGCTGTCTAAAGGCTTATACCTGCTATGAGCTACTGTCGGAGGCAATATTTCAACAAATACAGTACTTCATGTTCTGAGAAGGAGAGTTCATTGAAATATAAATTGCCACCAATCTCATCAAAACAGCCACGAAACCACCCTCAGACACCTTAGCAGCGCTCGATACCTCCGCACCCAGTTCCGCATAGAACAATTTTCTTCCCACCATGATACCTGTCATTCCTTCATACTACAGGGGGGACGATTTCCGTCATGCCACCGCTGGGCGTCCATACACCAGTAGTAGACTCAAGACTATAATCATCAGTAAGAAAACCCTGACACGACTCATGTTCACCTACACAATCTGCTGGTAAACACCCTTTGATTTCCTAGTAGTCACCGAAAACACACCAGGTGATGTGACTTGTACCTTCGGAGATGAAATAGAAGGAGCGCCGATGCATGTCCGCGTAAAAGTTCCAAGCTCATTTGCGGTCAGAGTTGCACTATCTCGATAAATATACCCATCAATACCGATTCCAAAAACGTCAATTCGGCCAGGAGATACCGAGATGGAGGTGGGCTTCATTCAGTATGAGCTTGAATCTCTCGCTGCACTCAAGGAGACTTACATCGCTTGCATAAGAGCCGCCAAGACTCCGCCCAGTTCCCCAGCCAACGCCAGCAGCTCGGTGGGACAATTGCCTCATAGTGCGATCTGCTGCAAGCACGAAGATATCGATACATGATGCTTTGCAACACACAATGGTGGGTTTACTCAAGCAATAGTCAACTCCAGCCCGCGGTTCCCAACTGTTAGCCCAGGAATCTATTACAGTCCATGTGTGAAAAAGCTGTCCTGTAGTGAGTTCAACGCCGACTACCGATATGGATTGGTCGTAGCTTCGATCCAGGGCTGCTAGAGAGTCACTTCTTCTTTGTAATGTTAATGATTTGATTTGCAAGCCGCAAAGTCTAGAGAGTTACTCACATCTTCTTAATCCCGTCACCGATGGCTGTCCAGGTGAAACCAGTACTGAAGTAAAGTTTTAGTTTCAAATTTAAATTCTCTACATTTGGTGATGAAAATCGAGAACATACTCGGAGGTACTTATCCCTCCGTACGGGATATGGTATAATATTTCGACATAAAGGACAGCGAATGTATTGGCAGTAGCAGTACCATAATGTGTGACAATAGGGGAAGAAGCAGTCTTTTTACCGGTGGAGAGCCAGCCTGACCATCCTGTTGATTGACTGTACCATTTGTGGTACAGAGTAAAATCGGTACCGCTATCAAAGTCAAGATTAATTACTGTCTTATAGCATTCCTGCAGGGTAAGGAGACTTACACGGCAAATGCATGGACCTTGCCGTTTGGCAGAGAGATAATCACAGGATCTAGGTTTGTTAAACCTTACCAGCTACTAGTACGTAGTGTTGACTGGATTACGTTCTTACCATACATAAAGGTCCCGCCACTAGTAGTCCAAAAGAATCAGCAAGGAAATCTAGATGTGGTAAGAGATAGAGAGGAATATGCTCCAAATAGATTTCAAAATTTCGACCATGGAATTGAAATGAAGCTTCTACTACCACCTTCCAAGGCCACAGCATTGAGATGAATGTTTCAAACGGGCATCACCAAATAAATCAACTCACGAAACACCATTAAGGTCAACATCAGACCACTTTTTCGCCTCCCAATCTAGGTTGATTAGCCACGTTAAATCGAGTTATGATGCAAAGAAACCAAAATCTCAGAATGATTTTGCAGGCCACATACTTTGCACCCAAAGAGCTCTGAGAGAATTCGTTAGCCAGAGGTTTTGACATTAATATGAATGGGGATCCATCGAGATTGGAGGAGGAAAGTGAAAATGAGAGATCAGAAACAAGGAAAGAGATGAAGAGAGGCAATTCTTTATATGAAGAAGAACTCACGAATCTGTGGCGACAGACTCCACCGTATTATTCGATGTTGCAATTGTGACTCCTTGGATAGATGAAGTAGTAGACATCTTATCTTGTATATATATTTGGATATCTTTCAGCTTAGAAAATTTGGAGTGTATCGATACTTTATGTCCTTACAAGCGTTTGTTAATTGGGGTATGATAAATTAGAGTTTGAAAGGTTGAAAAGCTAAACAAGAGACCACAGAACAAGAAGTTAAACGAGATTTAACTTATATCAATTTTCTTTTCAAGTGATATTGAGTTTGTCCCAACTAAAAAACATAATAAGATATAATTCGTGGAAGAAAACAAGTAACGGTGTAATGATTGACAAATCACGCAACTAGTGATTGCAACCACAGATGGCAGATAAATGAATCAGCTTCCTCTTTGTACTTGGTCTCATGCAATGTAGCAGATGCGTAATGCTAATGCAAGTAGCTCTTTCAGTCAAGGGATACGGGCCTTGTTCTTGTTGCCGAGTGCAACTGCAATGGCTGCATTATTGACCTGAGAATGAGTCGTTTATAGCGGAGTGTAGACGCCCGTTGGAAAAAAATTGGCAAAACGATGCACATCATGCCTATCTTTCTGCATGACGCCAAATGCAGAGCGCAGCGGGATAAAAGATACGAGAGCCACGTATAGTCATGGAATGTTTACAAATATGCGTCTTAGTACCTTGTTTAGCCGACAATTGATGCTTGTACTCAAACTACTTCCCCGCTTCACACCGATCTAGATTTCGGAACTAAGTCTTTTTGCCTTTAAACGACATCTGAGTTGCAAGGGATGTGACAGCATGGGAGTTACTACAGGACGGGAGTGAAAGCACGAAGTAATTAGTGCATGAGCACTCGTTTACGATTATGTTTTGCTTTATGATCGTTAGGCATTTTGAGATTCTTCAGAAAGTATTGTAAAGGTTGGATTTTACTACCCCAAAAGAGACAATCTAGATTAGCATGTTGCAAGAGGTCTGTGAATCATTTTTTCGTACCACCAAGTCTCAAAAACCGAGGATTTAATGTATCTTATGACAAAAGTATGAAGTGGCTGTTGGAAACTATGACCAAACAATATCAAAATGAAACAAAACATTCAACGAAAGCACAGAAATAAAGCCATAAATTGAGTAAAATTCAATCCATGAAGGAATTCCCTGAATTGATCCAGGAGTGATCAAGCGTGTGAGACTCCTCGTTTCTCATCAGCCTCTGCTTGATTAACAGTATAGGGAGTTGGATTTTGGCTGTTCGCTTTCAATTCCAACACCAAAAACGTAGTCGCGCGTCCTTGCAGTGGTTTGATTGCCCTAATACCTGTCCAAACTTCATCTAGTTGCACGACATAAAGGCCGGCATTCGATTTTGTATGAACTGGCCCCTTCAGTTTCAACGTGAAAGAGCCATTTGAAGGCACTATAAACTTGGATGGCAAGCCCGTGCCATCGTGTGCAGTATCGAGGACAGTAGGAAAAATGTTTAATTGGAGCCCAGCATTGACAATGCTTGCCTTCAAGTCGAGAGTTTGGGCCATCTTTTCAGTCGTAATTGACCAAGGCTTGACAGACTGACCGCTGGAGTCCTTCACGTTCCAATGCTCCAGTCCCGTGTTAAACAAGCTTTTGCCGTCTAATCCTTTCATTTTGAGGCAGACGAGGTTCATAGACTTAAAAGCTATTCCATTATTAGAGCTGTTTGAAGCAGTCAATGTTAGATCGATGGTTTGCGCGGCGGAGTCATATGCATTAACAAGAGATGTCCAATTTAGACGCGGGTGCAGGGTTGTCACGGAGGTGTCGGTGGTATAAGTTTCTATGACAATATTGTCTCCAGCGCCCTTTGTTTCCAAGGAAGGCCAATCAACTCGACTTTCTTTTGGGCTGCGTAATTTATGACATGTAAGTGACAAATTTACATATCAAGGGGACTTGTTGAACTTACGAGAAGTTGATAGTTGCAAATGCACTCAGATCTTCGTTGAGCATGGTGGGTCCGAATGTGAATTCGCCGTTTCCTCCATACGTGAGCTTATTGATTCCCTGAAAAAGCTTCAAATCGCTAGCCAGTTTGGATAAAGCTCTGCCAATGTTGACCTTCATCGCTGACCGTATCAGAACCCAATTTGGATCTGATGTGGTTCCAGTAAGATTCGTAGAGAAGTCATTGGGTATGATTATATCAAGTCCAGTGTATGGGTCTTTCTCTATCTTGCATCCCTCCAAAATAGCTTTAGGGTTGTTTAAGACTGCGAGATTACCCACCACATCCTGAGAGCCGCTGACACCAATAGTGAACGTCCAGGAAGCGATATCGCTAATAATAAGGCTTTTTTTGGTCAGTCTCTATTCGAAAGAAAATTGGTGTCATACCTACCTCGAGTATTCTCTCCGACAGGTATAGCCATATTCGCCACTTACCCTTAAAGCGGTCATTTGTGGCCCGGCTTCTATTGTTATCTTCGCCGTAGATGTTGTTCTAGTCTTTCTTCCTGCAATACCCGCTAATATACGGGTACTCGCCCCCGTATTATCTTTTACTTCTTCCCAACGATACGGTTTACCAGCCGTCAAATCTGCCGAGTTACCAACCACGCGAAGTCGTCGGCCAGAAGTTAGATAATTTCCACCAATTCTTGCCTCAGATCCGAATGGTATTGTCTGCATTGCAAGACAAAGATCTTGTAGTGGCGATAACAGCTGGAAAGCTCCGGAAACAAGGCGGCGGTCGAGTATAAAAGTTCCCAGATACTCACTACTTGTACCTTTACTAGGCCCTGCTAAGTTTCCCTGCACCATAGAGTCAGCTGCATGATCTATTGCACAAAACAAAGAAAATTTTGTCTCCAGAATCGGTCGGCCAAAGTCCTCAGGTCATCATCTTACAGTAAATGGTAGGAATTTGGTTGTGGGAAGGTCGACTCTGCTTCCCACCACTTCACAAAAGCAGAGACAATTATAAGGGCTTCCATTTACACCCTTCATAACTTGCCTACTGCTTGACAATTGTATCTGTCTCTCTTCATCTATGTAAGGGTAGTTTTGCATTCGCAGCGTCCTGGCAGCTTGATTCAAAGTCAAAACGACAATATCATGAGGCGCTCAGAATAGACTTACCGAACGTCACCTTCCCACTACTAACTTCAAAGGAGTTAGCGACAGCAACAGTCATTGCCATTGGACTAACCTTTTGCTTTCGGCACCTTCAACAGCATTCCTTGTGTAAAACAAGAGGCAAGTTTGTTCTCCAGGGTCCATTCTCTCAAGCATTGCTGGACCTCGTTGTAAAGAGCGTTATTTGCGGGGTCTTTAGCCCACTGCTCGAGAGAGACTTTCTGTCTACTCGGTTGCATCATGTATGAACGCTCCCATATGATGCTGCCCCATGGGAGATCTATATCAAAATAAATCAATTTTAGCTTCCGCGTATTTGTAGAAGCCCTCACCAGCAATAGCAGCAAATAAGCGATGGATTGAGTATTCTCCAGGACATAGCTTTGTTGGCTTGTCGGATCTAAAGACCACATTCTCTTCCGTGTCTTCCACATTTGCCGCCGCAGTAAGATCTCCGATTGTTGCATTTAGACAATCTGCGAAAGAAAGTGGCGTGAAAGCAATCACCCAGCCATCAATAGTCTGATAGGTATTTTGGCCAAGAAAAATTCTCCCCTGATCAAAGCGAAGTTGGAGCATAAACTTGGAGCTATCGCCAGATTCTACATCAAGCTCTGCAATATCATAAGTTTAGTACTCGAAAAACTGACTGCAGTAAAAAGTTGATTTTTTGACTAGGGATGACTTTTGAGTTATGTTTTACCTATTTGAGGGGGCAGCATTGTAGCCACCAACTGTCCATCAAAAACATCTTCATTGCTCCAGTGAATTGATCGTGCTGCAAGCGGCTGCTTTTCGAAAAGCTTTACAAAGCCTCTGTTGATGGCAGCTTGAGAAATGGCACAAACTTGATCGTAATGCTGCAACCCGTCGCCATTGCCACTGGTGTCGAGTTTGACAGGGCCGGAAGAAAGACTCAAAGACATTGTAAGATTTGTAAAGCGAAATGATCCGAAATGCAAAAGAACACTTGACTAGCTAGTAAATTGAAGGTTTTGGCATACTATTGTGTAAGAGATTTCATGAATTTTGAGCGTCGAGAGACTTGTGAAATTTTCAGATTTTTTCAACAGTAAGCTTGGTGAAGCAATAGCATGAGAGCAAACATAGAAAACACGTGAAAAGCTACTTGCGGACAATCGAGTCGAACAAGCATTACTGGCTTGATTTTGTCGTAAGGGATGCAAACTAGTAAACCTTGAGGGTACCGATATGCAACATTACCCGTCGACATCAAGATTAATTAACCTGGCACCGACCGGGTATGACTTGCACATCTCTCGGAATGGCTAAATGACATTGATAATCGAATTAAGTGGGAAGTTTTGGCTTACATGCATAAGTCTTACAAAACTGGGATACGGAAAAGAGACCCGAAAATAACCTTATTTTTATCAATCTTATCAATCTTACTTGCGGTTGACTGCGGCTAATGACTGCGGCTAAAATCGGTAGTCGATACTCCACTTGGAAAATCAACAGCATTTGCAATCCAAACGAAAATACCTACCTACCCATTACTACATCGTAAATTTTCAGACTTGCAATCTTCTGAACGAGTCGAATGTGCCAATTGAATCCGGGCAGCGACGCCTCCTGATCATCCGGGGTAGGACTGTTGGCCACTGGATTCGGAGGTAAGTTCAACGTGTTCTGTTTTCCACCTACCGTAATGCTATCCAGGTTCTCGTCGCTTTTGCAGATCAGTTCATGTACCTTTTTCGCGATGATCAATATCGGGCTTTGATTAGCCTTTCTTCTCAAGGTAGCGGGTTGTGTCATGGGGGTCTAGGAAATATATCAGAGGATTCACCGGTGACCTACTAGTTTCTAAAGCACGAACCGACGATCAAGACACAAATGCATGTGCAGCGGTACAAATTGCATAGGTGGAGCTGCAGAGCTAGAGGGATTTTCGATTTACCTGAATCATGTCATCGTATTGTTCTGCAATGCATCCTCAAGTATCACCGGATCTATTACGGAGCACATGTCTCCGCATACTCTTGCGGTTTGCATTGCATACAATCAATTTATGCAAATTGTTACAAGCTGAACAAATTGAATTAACTCACTTATCAGACAGCAATGCATTATACCCCTCGTTCTACTGCAGAATGTGACGCGGGGGATGAGGGGACGTGGGGTTCAGATCGGTTATGAGATCCTCGTACGAGATAATATCGGAACAATGATAGAAACCACGAGTGACAAACATCCAAAATCGTTGGGGAGAATAAACTTCAAAGTCGACACCAATTTGATCATAAACAGCTTCCTTCATTTGGTGTCGTAAAAAAAACCTACCAAAAAATCAAGATCAAGATCAAAAGCATACTGCAGTAACTAACAAATCCACCATGCCTTCTTTCATTAAGGCCATTGAAAATGGTCTTCTTCCTGGCGAGCTAAGGGATAGGTTGAATCATGCCATCAAAATCTGGCCTGGAGATCCTCGATCAGCCATTGATTGGTTCCTCGAGGGAGGAAATGTACCGACGAACACCATTGCCACCATGACCTTCGTGAGATCGCTCTTGTTTTACTTCGACGACGAGGAGTACGTTTGTGGTCAAATTCTGACACTCTTGAGCTCCTATACTCTTGAAGGCCTGGTATTATTGCTTTTTCCTCGCAATCTGTTGGATCAAAAAGTGACAGCAACGCCAGCCAACTTTCCATACAATTGGACAACCACCAATCTGACAATTACCAAATTGGAAGAAGTACGCGCTGAATTCCTCGATAATCACTCACTTATCGTGTTGCTTATTCTGTTGAGAGAGGGCAAGTTCTCCATCAAAGAGCGCCCTCGACAAATTGCCGATTGCATTCTGACCGCGATGATCGGTGATGAGCTTGAAATCGGATCGCCAGAGCTTTTAGCCTTTGTAAAGAAAGCCTTTCCAGACTTGAAAGACGCAGAATTTTCAGCCGCGATTGAATTCATCAAGACTTTGAAAATCTTCTCGAGTCTAGTTGAAGATCCTGAGGACGTGGTGCATCTCTATAACTCCAACTACCATTCTGTGCGAAGCATCACAGCCCAATCAAAGAGCAACTTTAAAAATACTTTGGTCACAGCTGGTACCAGCGTCGAGAGTTCACTCAAGATATATGACTGCGCAGAACGTGTCGATTGCTGGAACGAGCAACTCTGGCTACATTTGATGAATTCCCGTAGAGCAGATTCAGTCATGATTGACCCTTATTTTGAAGGGGAGATCACAAATGTACCAAGTGATGAAAGTTGGATGGGCAAATCCCATAACAATCTCACCGATATCTTCCGGCTTGAAGATACGACTTGTGAGGAATGCTGTTCTATCACATCCCTGTCCGCGTATTTCGCCGATCTTCTGAGCCTGCTCAGTAATACGACGCCGACGGGCTCAAACCCAAAATATGATGACCCGCCAGGCACTCGGAATAGTCTGTTAAATATCCTGTCACAACGGCGTCCAGACCTCAGGAACCTTGAACTTACCTGTGCAAATTCGCAGACTTTGATTCCGTACATCAGTCTTGTGAATGAGGTGCTTGAATCTTTCATCCGCCATAAGTGTCTTGGTTCGCCAGATTCTATTCGAGTATTCAATACTCCTATTGATGCCCAAGACAATGAGCATTCTCCTACACCACTCAATTTGCCAGGGAACACAGACTACGAGGTCTATTCTAAGATCATCTCAAAGCAGAGATTCCCCTTTACCTGCTTTCCATACGACCAGGCGCGTAACATGGTACTCTCTTACTTTGACATTTTCCAAGTAGCCCATTGTGACTTCGTTGAGAAATTTCAAGCACCAGAGACTATTCTGCAAACAATAACAGCAACAACTACAGATGAAGTGAGAAGATCGCTGAACTCGGGAGCGAAAGAAGTCTTGGAGAGGCAAAGAGCCGCAGAAGCACTAGGCCTGCACCAGATGGAATTTGCAGCTATTACCGGAGAAAGTTTCTACCCACAATCCTTCAGTGACCTCGTCAAAGGTCTTTCAAGTAACAACATTATTGATACGAGAATACAGGAGCATGAGTTCTGCCAGATGTGGGGTTATGAGGATGATGAAACCATGCTAAGCGCCGCAAAGGGCTTAACACAGATCAAAAGTCAATTGATGCAGAGGTCCGGGCTGGAGTTTCAAGATGTCCTCGACCTTGTAAAGACCCAGCTTTTCGACCAACAGCTGGTTATTACTAATGAAGCTGGGTCTAACGAATTCACCGAGTCACTTGCAGAGCTTCGACTGCTATCAAATGCATCGAGTCCACCTTTCCAGCCTCTTACTTCAAGCATATGCCGAAACATTCAATCATTCTTACGTCTCAAGGCCAGGATTGGGTGGTCAACCAAAGTACTCGATGCTGCTATCCACTGCTTACGCAACAGGGAAATGGAGAATTCACCATCTTTCAGATCGAACACTGCATCCCAAGTCGCTTCGATTTCCGTATACGTTATTAAAGGAATTGCCTCCATTGTCAAGCTGAGTGACCTATGCGGATTAGAACCTGCTGCTCTTATTCCCCTATGGGGTCTCATCGATTCATTTGGCGACGAATCTCTCCTTCATCGCAAATTCCTCAGCCCTTCTCTGGGAGAAATATTCGCAGTTCCCAAAGACTGTGCATACTTCCAACCCAGAGGGAAAGCAATTAAAATTCAAGAGTGCGGTGCGAGCATTTGTGCAAGCCTCAACTGGCGTTTCGAGTACTTTGATGATCTACTCGAAGCCACAAATCTTGCAAATGATGACCTGAACATCGAGAACTTTTCTGTCTTGTATCGATATGTGACCATATGTCGAATGCTTTCTGTCCCTCCTAAAGAATGTGTGCCATTCTTCAAGATCTTCTTTGACAAGGAAGATCCCTTGACAAATCCCAATAAGACGCTTGCTACTATTACGAATTGGACAACGTTACTGAACTCAGGCTGGACTATTGAAACACTTGTACTAGCTCTTGGGAAATCAACGAGTGGTGAAAGCAGTATTACTGGAGGAAACCCTGGACAAAAACTTGCGAGTGCGATACTAGATGGGACTAAAGACTTGAGAAAATCACTTTCATCACTTTTTAATGGAGCCATGCCCACTCATGAAACTATCGTCGAATGTGCGGGACGTGCCTTTGACTCAATTACGGCCAGTCTGGTCGTTGAATTTGTCGAGGGATCTCAGATTCGAACCAATACTGCAAAGCTTGACACACAGCAAATGTTACAGAACCTCATGAATATATCCAAAAACTGGCCAACTAAGATTTCTGTAATCCCTTCCTCAACAGCTAGTTCGTGGTCTGTCCAACTCAAACTCACAGGCATATTGACGACGAACGAAAAGCAAAAGATCATAGATGAATCTGCAGGACTTCCTACCGTGAAGACCGCACTACAAAGTCTCGTTGAGAACTCTCTCTTTCCTCAAGCTGTCATCAAGTCCCGTTTCCAGAGCAACATAAACGGGCTTAAAGATGATATTCTTTTGCAAGACTGGGCCCCATCCAAGCTCTCTGTCAATCCAATCCCCTCTGTGAATGACATTTTGATTGAGACAGAGTCACAAGTACAAGCACGACGAACTGCCTTCGTCAAAATGGCGAAACCCGTGATTGTTCAAGACACTCTCACAACATCTATCCTCAATACCATGAAAGATCTTGTGGAAGGTGTTGATATAACAGTTCTTTCAACTCTTCTGACAGAAACTGTGAAGGTATCAACAAACGATGAAAATGCACCCGAATCAGCTATGACAGCTCTGAAACAGCTCAGTGAACCAGTTGAAATCATGACTGAGGCGGAGACGCTAGATGCATACTTCACACCCACGACAACAGATGATTTCAATCTGCACTATACTGGTGCGTTGAATAGCCCTATCAGTCTAATGATAAATGGGATCGAGGTGCCGTTTGATACCGACTCGAAAACGTGGAACGCATTTCGCATGAATGCCAGACAGCCATATCTTCTACAGAGTAGCATTCGTCCAACCCAAATCTCATGGTCAACATGCAGATCAATGACGACACCCTTCACTGATGAAGAGCTTCAGTCATCGACATCTATCCAACGAGCAGCATCGATTTTGGAGGCTATCCAAAGAGCAGTGTGCATTTGCCAAACTGTGAAACTCACGACATCAGAGCTCGAATATATGAACAGAACGGGAAAAACAGAAGATGAGATGCTGTCAATGAATCTTAATACACCATCTCTAATAAACTTGGTGCAGCTCCAAGAGTACCGCGAGCTGAGGGATAATATAATGATCGCGGATAGTGACCTAATCAGCCTTTTCTCGTGGCTATATAACCCTAAAAATCCAGATATGAAGACAATTGCAACCAAAATTGCAGCAAGCACTGGTTGGAAAGACACGTTGGTAGAAAGCGTCCTCAATGCAAAATACCCAAGCCATACTCCTGCGGATCTTGTAGCAGTTTTGCGCAATCACGATGCCTTTATCAACCTTAGAGCCATCCTTGCTCTCTACGAGGGTTTGGGTAGCGCATCTGATGTTACCTCCAAGCCTCTGATGACAGAACTGTTTAATCTTGCAAAACCTCTATCACAGCTCAACAGTGGAGATACATATATGGAAGCCGCCAAGAATCTGCAAAAAAGATTGACACCTTCACAACGAGAGGCATCAGATGAAGGTTTAATGGAGAGCCAGCGCAAGACACTCGTAGCTTATCTTCTGCAACAAAAGTTCATCACCCAAGACCTTGGTATATGGGATGCAGATGGGCTATTTGAGTATTTCTTAGTCGATGTACAGATGGGGCCACAAATTCGAACTTCGCGCATAAAGACAGCCATCTCGGTCGTGCAAATGTTTGTTCAACGCTGTCTTCTCGGAATGGAAGAAGGAGTTTCGAAGTCAGTTCTGGGGCATGAAAAATGGGACTGGCTACAACAGTACACTCTCTGGGAGGTGCATAGAAAGATATTCTTGTATCCTGAGAACTGGATTGATCCATCACTCCGAGATGACAAATCTGAGCTTTTCGACCAGTTTGAGGCCACCTTAATGCAGAAAGACTTAAGCATCAAGACGTTTCTTCAAGCTATCCAGAGTTATTTGTATGATCTAGATGGAATTTCGAGTCTCGATATAGTCGCGTATGTTCATGAACCGCAACCAGCAGCATCGGACACTTTTCACTTGTTCGGCCGGACCCGCAGTGGGCCGTATACCTTCTACTACCGTACCCTGACGAGATTGAGGACTGCTGAGGTATTTTGGCAACCATGGTCCAAGGTCGAGGTCGACATTGCGTCAATTGAGACGGAATGGGAGGGCCAAAGACTCGTGGATACGGGTAGTTATCTGCTTCCAATAATGATCAAGGGTAGGCTGTACTTGTTCATGCCATCAATTGTGCCCAAGACGTTAGTGAAGAACATCTCAAGCATGTCCAATGTAAAAACTTTTGACGCTCTGCGCGATCAAAATCCAAACATAGCAGAGCCTGTGCGCATCTGGGAAATAACAATGGCGTGGACAGAGTTCGTCAACGACACTTGGGCACCCAAGAGAGTTTCCTCTGGTAGTCTCAGTGTGGGCCTAGAGGCATCTTCATCCCAAATCCGGGTCGATCCCACATTACAAGACAATACTTTGACACTTAAGGTCAGCTATGGTGAGGCTGGAAAAACCACTTCCAAGGCCATTGGTTTATTCATATTCTGCAATGACCAAATAAGCACATCAAACACCGTAGCAACCTCTACTCAGGCGGGTTCGTTTGCAACATACTTTCAAAAAGCATTGAAACAAGGAATGGATCTCGAATCACTCCCCGGAGGTTCCAAATATACTAATTCCGCACCTCTGATTTGGGTGCCACCTGAGCTGGAGAGTACCAATGGGGCTTCAGATGTCTCCTGGACTTTGTCAAAGTTACCACAGAGGGTGACAGGACTAGTTGTCAGCGCAAAGGTTAGTGAGGGCAGAAGAGCAAGTTTCTTCAATATACCAAAAATGGAGCTTCTCAGTTCGACATGGACCAAAGACGTCATCAAGAACAATACGGAACTTGTTTCTATTGACCACATATTTTCGCACGAACTCATGGAAGCAACCTCTGACCGAATTGATCCGCTACGTTGTTTGTATAACAAAATAGCACAGCTACCTGCTGGTGCGATGAGAGAAAGTTTTGGAGCTGGTAGTCATGAGGCATGGTATTATCCCCTAGCTCACTTCACTTCTAATATTAGTATTCCAACATGGGACTGACCGTAGAATAACACAGGTATCATGAGCTAGGACGTCCCACCGCTATCTACAAGTAAGTCTGCATTTTCTTCAAGAAAAAATAAATAAAATAAAAGGGGAAACAAAAACGAGGTTATAGTAGCCCGTTCGCAGGTTTTCTAGAGAATCAGTTTTCTTTTTCTTTTTGATGACAAATTGTTTTTGATAATTCATACTTTTCTGGCACGGAAATTGATTGAGAGAAACTGTCTTTCAAAAGGCCTCGATTGTTGTAGAGAGATGCAATGGTTTCAAAAGATTCAATCCACTTGAATATTTTGTTTGGAATGACAGCTAACCACGTTAAAGTTGGGAGGTTGGCCTACACACAGTATTGTTGGCAGTCGATCGATTTTCTGCCACCCAGCAATACGAAGAAGCATTGGAGGTTGCGAGACTGGTCTTTGATCCATCTGCCGATCTTGAATTAAACACGGATGACAAATTGACCTATCGATCATGCTGGCGATTTCCTCCGTTCCAAGAAATGGCCCGACAAATTGCCATCCGGGGTGAGACTTCGTTCGATCCTTTGAACCTTGACCATTTAAGCAAAGAAATCCAACTTGCCATTAAGGAGCGTCGTTCGTATGGTTCACTTGTGCATGCCGCAGCTAGGGGAAGACCAATTAGTTATATGAAGTGGATAGTGATGAAGTACGCAGAGATCCTCATCGCATTGGGCGATGTTTATTTTCGCCGGGCTTCGCTTGAGAGCCTACCGATAGCTACGCAGCGATACATCGAGGCTGCGCGAGTTTTAGGAAAGGAGCCGCCCAAAGTACCGGATTTGGGGAAAAGAAAAAGGAAGGCAATGACTTTTGAGCAACTGAGAGAAGAGGATATTATGTATGACTCTGTTGTATTCGATTTGGGCTTGCCTTTCTCGGCCAAATTGAAGAAAGGTGCAGCCGAAACAGCAGACAGAGATCCAAAAAAAGAGAATATCGCTTGTTTCCTTCGAACGAACTATTTCTGCGCCCCTCTAAATCCTAAGTTCAAGCAAATGCGAAGCCTTGTTCATGAACGCCTTTACAATCTCCGAAATTCTTTCGACATTCAAGGGAAGCCAGTAGTCTACGGCCTTCGTGAACCGCCCATTGATCCAGGAGCCTTGATAAGTCTTAGCAAAGGAGGTATGGGAGTATCCGATATCCTCAGCATGGTTTCTGGTGAACGAAATAGCCCACTACCACGGCAGCGTTTCGACGCTCTTCTGAAGCAGGCCTTAGCATTATGTACCGAGGTGCGCAAACTTTCAGGACGCCTTGTAACCGTAGTTGAGAAGAAAGAGATGGAAACTTTCAACATCGGTAATGCTCAGCATGCTTCAGTCATACAGAAAATGATGCTGGATATCAAGAATGTCGAGCTTGAAGAGGCACAACAAACTGTCGAATCGCTCTTGATCAATCGTAGCTCGCTGGAGGCGCAATTGAATTATTACCTCCAGCTTATCGGCGAGCCAGATTCCATGATCCCAAAGCCCAAAGATAGTTGGGTCGATATTCAGCAGAGTATCGACACCCCCACACAAGACGAACTTCGAATGTCTTCATATGAGAAAGCAGAAAGTACGTTGATTAAAAATTTCAAAAAATTTCTAATGTTGTGCTCGAAATCTCAAGTCTTGCTGTACCCCTTTCCTTAAGCATATCCCTTTCCATCTCTCAACATAACATTTGTTCCCAATGATCCCCAAGAAGATTCTTGAGCAGGCAATACGCAATACTGACTTCATGATTTTCAATAGTGATACAATCCCTCTCTGCTGGCGCCAAGAATCGCGCGGCCATAGCCACCGATGCACTCTCGATCCCCCTTTATCTCGTTCCACAAGCAACAACCGACTTTGAACCTCTTGGTGTCGGTGGATCTATTTCCTTCGCTGGAAGCGCCATTGCTGATTCAGTAGCTGCTGGGTCCACATTAGCGAGAGGAATTGCAGCTGTTCTAATGGACGAAGCCGGTCGAGCAGACAAGAAAGCTAGCCTAACGATGCAGTTACGGGAGCGAAGACTCGCAGCAAATATGAGTGGCCGTGAAATCAAGTCGATCGACAAGCAGGTCGAAATCCAGAAAATCCATATCACTTCAATCCAGAAGGACATTGAGATCCAACAATCAGAAATAGAAGATGCAGCTGGGGCCGAGGAGTGGTACCGTACCAAGTATACCAGCGAACAATTGTATACATGGATGGAGAAAATATTCAGAAATCTTTATTTCCAGGCTTATGAACTCTCAATGACCATGGCACTTCGAGCGGAGAGCTCGTTCAACTTCGAAGCCGGCAGCAAAAGTTCGATAATCAACAAAGGGGGGTATTGGAATCCTTCTCAAGATGGTCTTCTTGCTGCCGAAAGTCTTTATCTAGACCTGAGGAGACTTGAAAGCGCGCAATTAGAATGCACAGCTGCTGATTATAACATCAGTAAGACTGTGTCTCTAAAAGACTTTGACCCCATGGCGTTGATGAAACTCAGAATCACGGGAACAACGGACTTCTCCATTGGCGAACTCCTTTATGATATGGATTTCCCCGGTCATTACATGCGAAGAATTCGATCTATTAGCGTCTCGGTACCATCAGACAAGGAGATTGGAGCTAATACAAATGCCATCTTGACGTTGCTAGAGCACAGGTATCGCGTAACACAAAACGCAGCTGACTATGCTGCTTCCCAATCTGCTACTGGAAGTGAATCATTTAGAACTGACCGAATTCCGATAACAGCAATAGCGGTAAGCTCTGGTGCTAAAGATCCCGGAGTGTTTGAGCTCGACTTCTCTGGTCCCCGGTATATGCCATTCGAGGGCGCCGGTGCCATTTCGGCATGGCGTCTGGAATTTCCGGCACCAATCCGTCATTTCAATTATGAGTCGATTACTGATGTGCAACTACACATACAGTACACTGCTTACGAGGGAGGTCCAACACTGAGGAAGGCGGCAAAAGACGCGGTTGTCCAAGCAGCTCAATCAATTGAAGCTCAAGGACAACATCAAGGATACTGGGCACTTTGGGACCTCAAGACAGACTTTGCTGCAAAATGGGCAGATTTTGAAAACACTCTCCTTACTCCCAACGTGGAAGCTACCCTGGACCTTGGCAATTTGAAAGACCGTCTGCCTTTCTGGTCACGACACCAAAAAGAACTCCAAGTTCAATCCTTTACATTGATGTCGCGAAATAAGAATGTAAGGGACAGATTGAGTATATTGGTGGACCCAAATTCACCTGCATACAATGGAACCGATGGCATCTACTCTGGTGATCTCTATACCAGACAGTGCGAAATGACTGAAAAGAACTTGAATTGGAAACTCAAGGCGAAAGCAGTTCCCCTTGCATCCGTCGCGAGCGAAAATATTTATCTGTTTGTTCGTTATATTTATGTTGGGAAAAATATTTCGTAATCGGAGGAGTTTACGTTCGCTTCATGTAGGCCTTTTTCGGTATAAGGGATTGAAAGAATTGCGGTGGCTTTTGATGGAAATAAATTGAGATGATGTGTTTTGTATTTTCCTTTTGACAGTTCTTGAAGTGCAAGGTGATCGGCACTTACCATTATCACATGACACCACTAGCTAGCTATTCTGATGTTAAATTCAACATTCAACAAAAGCTCGTCCACTTGACATGTCTCATAATTGTATCTATTCTGATGGCGCTTGTCAACAGATAGAGAGTGTATAACGCAAACAGAGTCTGACACTTAGAAAGAGAATATGGTATCTCGAAGTAACAGAGGGGCGCTCTCCACTCGTCCCCTCTTCCCCTTCATTCAATACTCCTTTGGATCATGCGATCTCGATTACCCATACGACGAAGCTTTGGCTTTAGCCAATCAAAAATGTTCCAATCAATACTCGTATTTGCTAGAGTATTTGAGGATGGTGCATTCCATATGGTTTTGAACCCAGTCAACTGTCTTACGCTGTAGACCACGCCGTGAGACTCTGTGAATATTATTTAGAGCACTTCGTACCAACACAGCATGTCGGGTAAACCCCATCGAAATTGAATTGTCTTATTCTCTTCTAGAGATATTTCCACTGCCAACTCTCATGCTACCTCTTCAACCTCTTCAGTGGGTGCGCCTCCGTATTCAACACCCATTCGTCGAGGCTCACCACATCCCACTCACTGAAAACCAAGTAGAAATACTTCAACGTCTCCGCTAACCAGAAGCTCTCCATACTATCTGCCTGTTCCACTCCTTCCTCTTCACTTATTCCACCCAAATTATCCGCGAAACGCTCTTTTTTCTTATCTCCATTCTTACCCTTCACTTTCCCCTTCTCATCCACCAACGCCTTGACCGTAACATCCAGTATCGCCGCCGACGCAATCTCCGTCCTGCAAATCTTTTCAATCGCCTGGAACATTCTCCAAGCGGCATCCATATATTTCCTATCCCCCGTGATTCTCCACAGAATCCACACACTCTCAATAGCCTCCGGTCTCAAAATGTATCTTCGATCATCCACTGCCGTAAGCCCCGGACTCAATCTTCTGTCCTCTATAATCCCATTCAACTTTTTCTCCGTCTCCTCTTTCGTATTCGTGATTGGATGTGTGTATATAGCTGCGAGAGCATCATACCATTTCTGTTTCGAATACGTACAATCGTGATTTTTAGGGCACGGAACCACGCTAAAGATTTCGGGCGCGATGCCATTTGGACTATTGTCATATGCCCATATACATCCATTTGTGAGTTCTTCAGCTAAGGCGAGGTCGGAGGGGCGGTTGAAAATTTTCGAGGCGATTCCAATCATGCCGCCAGTGAAACAGGTGAGGTGTTGACCACGAGGAATAAGCTCCGGGGTACTGCTTTCAGCCATGCCTTTAATGCGTATATCTCCTGATACTCTGATTTTCTGATTCTTTTCGTTTAGGATTGGAAAGAACATTTTCTCCTGGGCTACAGAAATGAAACTTTCGTACATTTTCTTGGGTTGGTCGAGGACGCCACCAAGAATCATGTACTGTTTTGGCAAATATTCATAAGTAGAATCCGACATACCACCCATAGTAAACATAGTATCTTCGTCAAATCGAAGCTTTTCAAGATCAATACTGACAGGCCATAATCCGGGATATCGAGTAGAGTTCTGACTTTTCTCGAATTCATCAGAAATACGTTGCACCGCATCATAGTATTTCGGATTTCCGGTCAACTGACTAAGTCTAGTAAACTCGAGACTTAAGGAACCTGGTTCAGAGACAAGAACTCTTCTAGGCGCTACCTGATCCTCTCCTTCTAGATACCTACACATTGTCAATAGCGTTCTTGTCAGAGGAGAGCAATAGGACCTACTTCTTCCAATCCCATCTAGGAATTGGCATTCTATTCGGGGTATCAAAACAACTCATCAACAACTCCGCAACCTCCACAGCCTTCAATAACAAAACCGGATATTGCGCTCCACTTATATCATACGCCGCCAGGAACCCACCCATATATCTAATCGTCGTTTCAAAAACATTGATATCCTTTTGCTCCGTTGTCGTAAAATCGATTCGCTCGATCGATCGCACCGCGATTTCAAAATCTTCTTTTAACCCCATAATCCACAAAGTATCCAATGAATCAACCAATGTTGCGGCCCAGCCACCAAAGGTATCTTTCCAGGACCCTAATAGAGGAGAGACCTCATCTCGTAACCATGCGTGCGTTTTATACCCCTCCCAACTATGTGTGAAACTCTCCTTAACAGCCGCTAATCGCTTCAGTCTCTCTTCCTTCTGCGCCGCGTCTTCTTTAGGAGGCGCACTTTGAATCTGAGGGATCTTCTTCGCTTTTCCAGTCGGCAAAGGAATGTATGAAGTTACTGGATATCGTTCTGGTAATTTCGACCAATGGGTTTTTCCATCTGGCAGATGAGGTTTCGCAATCGAAGATAGATAAGTCGCGTCATAGCTCCAAGTATTGCGCCGTGAATGAAGGTAATGAAGACTAAAAATCATGAACACTGCAGCTATGAATGCTGCTCTCCATCTTCTAATGATTGACGGCATATTTGCAGCAGCGTTTACTGCGCGAACAATTGAGAAAGTAAAATAGAGGAAGAAAAGTTCGGAAGTATTATGCGTCACATCCCTTGAATGTTTGACCCGATTTCAATGATTGATTGCTTTGACAGCAGCTTTGTCCTTCATCCGATGTGTTACTCCAAGAAAAGAACAATTACGAAGCGAAATTTGTAGAACGACAGAAGATGGAAAAAGAAATGAAACTTACCATGCGAGAGAGGGCGAGCTGGACATCCAATTGATCTACATGCTGCCGAGGAATGTATCAATTAGTTTCGTCCCTTCTGCATCATAGCTAAAGAGTCGATGACTCGCCAAGAGAAAATAATTGAACCCTGCGGTAAGGGATCGAAGCCAGAAATTAGCATCTCCGTACCCACCAGGACCGACCGACTGGGTTTCTCCCCACTCCCCAATTTGGTGTTTCACTACATGTTCTACGTAGTATAGAAAGTTTAAAAGAAGCATACAAGAGAGAATCGGCATCCTCAAAAGGGGTGATCGCTTATGGTTACCAACATCTCAATCTGTTGGACCAGAGTTACGATTCGATTTCGGTACCGTGTGAATGGTAACCTTTTAAGTTATATATTTCTGATACCCTTCTCTCCCTTTTCTCATTCCCCTTCAACTAAAAGCTAGACGGCTGTACCCACTTTCAATTGTGATATCATCAAGTTGATTACAAAGTACCACTAATGATGATCCACAGGTTTCCCCTGAAAATCTATCTTGCCATGTAGTTGTCAAAGGAGGATATTCATCGCGATTCACAGTTCACATGACAAATAATGCATCATGAAGACTCTGGTAAAGGGTATTAACAAGACAATAAGATGTCTGATGGGTTATCATTGATCATGAAGGTCACTAAAAACGGCAACGCTCTACGTGAATTTCAACCAGTCCAGTCCTACGCCCACAAGAATTCTGGATGTCCAAAAGACCCGTGATGTATACGCCGACTATTCTCCCTCCCAGCAACAAAAGACCACGCAAAAAAGGCAAGCTCGATTACTTTTGCATCATAAGTTGTACAAATTCGTTGTCTGTGAATGATCATTAGAATATGAACTTCGAGAGAAATGGTTGATGAAGGGGCACATACAGTCGATTCTTCCATCACCATCTTGATCAGCCTCTCTAATCATCTCATCAACCTCATCATCAGTCAACTTCTCTCCGATGGAGGTCATGACATGGCGAAGTTCAGCAGCGGAGATGAAACCGTTGTTGTCACGATCGAAGACCTATACCGACGACATATCAGCCTCTGCCACAGTAAATGACTTGTAAATTTCCAACCTTGAATGCTTCACGGATTTCCTCCTCAGAGTCGGTATCCTTCATCTTTCTTGCCATCATAGTAAGAAATTCTAATCGCGTCAGCGTTCTGAGTCATGGACTTGATTGCGTTGCGCCATACCTGGGAAATCAATGGTACCGTTGTTGTCAGCATCGACCTCGTTGATCATGTCTTGCAACTCGGACTCGGAAGGATTTTGACCAAGGGATCGCATAACGGTCCCCAACTCCTTGCTAGTGATTTGTCCTGTAGATCCATATATCAGTGCTGTCCTTCTGTATTGTTCTGCCAGTTTATGTGGTTGTCCCTCGTTGTTGTTACAGTTGTTTGAGATAGGGGCTGCTTTAGTCGAGAGGGCAAGTATGTGACCACGGGGAATTTTCGAGATCTGCAATGTCAAAGGAATGATATGGAATTACGAACCATCACCATTCTTGTCCTATTAAGTCACAGCTTATTAGCATTCAAATCTTCAATTATGCCCTGCCAAGTGTCCATAGGGCTGAGAGTATCGAGGTGGGAATATGAACATACAAAGAGGGAGAAGGCCTCCTTGAACTCGGAGACTTGCTCTTCAGTAAGAGAATCGGCCTGTATAAATGCGCATGTTAGTTGCGATCTTTTTATCCTCCAGTATCACTTCCTTTCCCTCCAACATGAAGCTGTAGCTTCAAGTTGAGTGCTGAAAACCGCGGGGTTGTTTAAGGTCCAGCCTTCTTGGAATATGGAAACAAACCATTGTTGAGTATTTAGTTGAAAGTAAGTATGATAACTTTTTTGGTTTGAAGTATTTCTAAGGTATATGAAGAATTGGAAGAACGGTTGTAAGGTTGAAATAAGGAGGATCTTGTTGTGTTGTGGGTTGTGATTGCGATTCAACTGTTCAGATGCTTGGATGCGGTGAAGCATAGATGCCATAATGGTCAAAAGTGGTTGTTGTACGGTAGCCGAATGACATAAAAGGTCTGGGGGGTCTGGGATTCCTCAGGCGAAGAGGTCGAAGCTGGGGAGAGCTTGGAATCATCAACACAAGACAAACATGCGACATTCAATAACAAACTTCAATACAAATTGCAATTCTTTGAGTTTCTATGCGAAATTCTTCTTTTATTATATTCTGTGAAACTGTAAGATTCATTTTCAATCGCCATGTGGCGTGATCGTACAAATCTGTATGTTCGAATTGCTGTTATCCCTTCCACAAGCTTAGATAGATACTGACACCTAATCTATCAGCTATATCTCCTATCGACAGTCATATGCACATCACCCTGCAAAGAAACCAAAATATTCAAGCTCTTCTGGAAATGGATACTCAGATAGTATTGGAGGAGCTTCGGAGGAACGCAGAGGACTTATGTCCGCTGGCGCATTCGAAGATGATGGCGATGCGATAATAGAAATGGATTTACTACCACCGAGATGGGCAGATATCAGCGACGAAGTTACAGAATATCTTACGGATATCGCAAACAAGAGTCAAAAATTGGAGAAACTACATCAAAAACATGTGTTGCCAGGATTCGATGATGAAGAAGTCAAGAAGAAGGAAGAAAGGGAGATTGAATTATTGACGCAACAAATTACCAAGGGATTTCACGATTGTCAGAGGTCAATTCAGAGAGTAGAGCAAATTGTTCGTGACTCACGGCATCAAGGAGGCATAAGTAAAGGAGAGGAAACTATGGCAAGAAATATTCAGATTTCACTAGCATCGAGGGTACAAGAAGCAAGTGCGGGATTCAGAAAAAAGCAAAGTACTTATTTGAAGAGTGAGTTCACACTACATTGATTGAAGTCGCCATGGTAAGATGGTACAGGATTTAAACTGACCTATCATCAGAGCTACGAGGCTTAGGAGGTATGAATGCACCTATTGAACGAACGTCTACCCCTCTTTACAGTAATTATATCGACCCCTCCATCATGGAATCCGACGCCGATAAATCATTCTCCCAAGCAACCCTCCAACAAACTTCTCAAAAACAACTCACCTCCAACGATGCAGCCATAATGCAACGAGAACGTGAAATCAATGATATCGCACAAGGTATCATCGAACTCGCCGACATATTCAAGGAACTTCAAACTATGATTATAGATCAAGGAACTATGTTGGATCGCATAGACTACAACGTGGAAAGAATGGCAGTAGATGTCAAGGCTGCGAATGTGGAATTAAAAGTTGCAAGCGGATACCAAAGAAAAGGAACGAAGAGGCGAATTATCTTGTTATTGATCCTATTAGTTGTAGGTATGTTTATTTTGCTCTTGGTAAAACCAAAGAAGCATAGAGGCGAGGTAGAGGAAAGTGTACCACCAGCATCGCCACCTTAATAATGATACCCTTTTTCGAGATGGATTACACGTATTTTGGTGGAGTGAGATTGTGAAATACCCGTAATGCTTCACGAGGTGTGCCCCCGTTCCACGTGCGCAAACTATCAATCATTATGTTGGGGTTGAAATGTGAGTGATGGGTGTTCAACATGCTCGAAAACTGTTCCTCGCTAGACCATACTCATCCCTTTCTCCATTTCCAAAATCATGGTACTTATTACCAGGCCAGCCCCGCTATTGTCAACGAGGGGATAGGTAAACTCAACTTCTTCTCATTATTAGATTACAACATCAACTCGTCCAAAGTCCAACTTTCATCCAGAAATATACATTTCCTACCTTCTATCTCATCCAAATAGCATCGAATGATATCATACAGCAAATAATACGAAATACTTATTTCATCCTACCCCACATCGCTTATACCAGGGGCTTTCCCCTTTTCTACTTCCCCGCTCCGCTCTCCACTTTACTTCTCTTCTCCTCTCTTTGATCCCCCATCTATATTTGAAGCAATCGCTTATAGTTGTGAATATTTTCTTTATGGTTGTGTGTGAGGGGACATTGAGAGGTAGTGCTAAGAGTTTCATCGAAGGGTGAGAGTGAGGAGAGAGGGACTGTTGTTTACTTAGAGGGGAATAAAAATGGGGGGAACTTTGAAGTGTAGGAAAGTATAGGATTCGACGAGGAGAAACGGAGTTACTTATGAGGCAGAGAGAAAACATTCTCAACTCTTTGAAAATGCATAGCATCGGACTTTCTAGCTACTCAAACCGCAAAGTCATTCAATTATCAAGTACATATTAATGGAATAAACTCATCCTCGCTTAACGGTGTAATGACTATACACCATACAAAAGACTAAGAATACTTCAGACACACTATGTGCTCATCGATTCAAAATAGGGTTGGATTCATGATGAATATAATTTTTGACCTACAAGTGAACAATTCGATCGACATCAACAAACCCAGCGCGAATAAATCTCACTCATCTCCACAGCTTGCTAAGCGCGGCCCCTTAATCCAACTCATCAAAATCCTAAGATCAAGCCATAATGCCCGCTGCGGCGGCAAAATTAACCAGCGGATAATGAGCCAAATCATCACTCTTGAGACATTTTTACGTTTTTTCAGAAGTATGTCACTTCTAAACCGCATCATGATGTAAAACTTGTCCGGTAACAAGCATCGGTACTTTAGAATCGGCCACGAAATAAATCGTAGACCGGTTGAGCGAGCAGAAAATCCTGACGCGAGGAATTGTTTCACGTGGAAGGTTGTAAGATAGTGCGACCGAATTGGACCCAGAGACCATTCCGAACCATGGATCGCGTAGACAATTCGCGAGAAGAAAGTATCTTATTTTAGCAAACACAGTCGAGACGAAACTTTGTTTTGTGGGATGAGTTGGAATTTTGTTTTTCGCCAAGGTATTTGTGTTCCTGTGACCACTTCCAACATTTGCTAGCGTGAAGTCTAAGTATCGTGGATTGTTGTCATAGTGAGTGATTTAGGATGTGTTTGTTTACTTTTGAGTTTTGGACTTCTTATATGTTTATATCTTCTCCTGCTGCATCAGGTATTAGATATGATGATTATGTTGAGAAATTTTCTAGGTCAATAGGAATTCCGAATTCATCTTAAGACTATTGTTCAGAGAGCAGATCAAATCATACAAAAGATACAAAAAGAGTGGAACGATGGGTGAGGAGAAGAGGCATCAGTTGAGTCGGGGCGTAGAGAAGAGAGATGAAGGTGGTGAGGAAAACAGAGATAGGAGAAGACGAGATAGACATGGAGATGAGGGAAGACATAAAGAGGAGAGAAAGTCAGAAATACGGACGGGATCGGTCAATTCGGAACCACGAAGAGAAACTAGGCAGACATCTCAATCTGTTGAGAGTGGACGTGATAGGCTACATTCTAGCGTTGAAAATGGTAGTAGCAGGTCATCTGCCCCCGCTCCCAAACGCGATAGCAGAGATTCCATCAGAAGGGTTGAAAGACCATCTACCACCACTGTCGACAATTCATCACTACCGGTCAAAAGAAGAGATCACAGTAGCAACCGAAGCACGAGCGGAAGTGAGAGAAAATCTAACACTCATCCACCCCATCCCAGTCGCGATAGAGATCCCACTGAAAAACGGGGGAGAGATTCCCACACCTACGTATCAAAAGAAACACCTACCCAGAGTAAAAGCGAGAACGTAACGGTGCCTCTTCCCAGCCGCAGCAATCGATCTCAAGATCCAAGACCAGGCAGAAGAGACCCTTCCATCAGTCGCGAAACAGAAAAACTTGTACTTGGTGATTCGAGGGGATCAAAAGCTGCGGCTACAGACGGTCGTGAAAAGCGAAGCAGTGATGCGCCGGCTTCTAAGGTACCCATAAGTTTTCCGCGTAACAAGGTGAGAGTTGGTATACTTCCGAAATATCATCTACCTCGGAAAGAAGAAAACTCTCGACGATTAATCGTTTTTGGGGATGTACATGGAATGCCTGATGCTAAGAAATGTCTCTTGGAACATATTAAATATGAACCAGCGTTGGACCATCAGATTTTCGCCGGTGATATGATAACCAAAGGGAGAAAAAGCAAACCAAGCAAGAATGCTACGACTAAAGGGTTGATAACTATCGAGGCTTCCAAAGATATTGTGCGTCAGGCTCGAAGAGATGGAGCTTCAGGAGTCCGTGGGAATCATGAAGACTGCGTACTGAATGTTAAACACGAAAGAAATGGTTGGCAAGAATCCATCGACCGCGAAATGGACAATCAATTTAACATTCAAACGAGGAAAAAGTTGAGGACGCCAGATCACAGGGATACCAGCGACTATGACCTGTATGATGCACTTACCCGAGAAGAGAGACAGTGGCTTGAAGATCTACCTGACATTCTAGTTCTGGGAAAATGTGGTGGGCGTAATAACATGGTTGTTGTACACGCTGGATTGAATCCATTTTTTGACCTGGAGCATCAACGAGTTATAGAGACAATGAACATCAAATCTATAGATCCAGTCAAAGGATATACTAGTTCGATGCATGTGGGAGATAAAGAGAGAAAAGCATTGGATAAGAAAGACCAGGGAAGTTTTAGCAAGATGATACCCTGGTTTGAGGTATGTGGACTAAGAATCCCGTTTGTAATAAACAGTACTAATCCTGATAAACATAGGCTTGGGAGGACGAACAAGAGAAATTGCCACTAAATAAACAGACGACAGTGATGTATGGCCATGAGTCTAAGAAAGGCTTGACCAAAAAGTCATTCTCCATTGGTCTTGATACTGGTGCACAACGTATAGACAAACTCAACCCTGATAAGTATCGAACTTTGACTGCCCTCGTTATTTACCATGATAGATGCAAAATTGTCCAAGTCAAGGAAATCAATAAAGACACTGGGGAATGGGAATGGGAGCCAGTTGAGCTGACAAAGGAAGAATCTGATTTTTGAGATGTAGTTGGATTTCCCTTATTTACATATGTCTGTATTATTTCTGTACTTGCAGGACTCCAGTTTCAAAATCGAGAAGTTTCGTGGAACATCAAGACTAATAAAGCTTTGTGTGAGACAATGTCATACTTGGGGGCCAAAATATTTAAATATGCATAGCAAACCCGTGGACAGCCAATATTACCAGGTTTACCTTCAAATGTTGTACCATCAAATTTCTGCGAAGCAAACTTTTGGTCGGCAATAGATTTTTTTGAAATTCTCACTCGAGACTTGCAGTATCAAGCATGCAAAACATATCTGCATCGCATGAGATTTTGATCACGTTATGCGGTCAACTCTGTACACCAAAATTTATATTAGAGAGAACGATCCGCTAGCAAATGTTAAATGACCCCTGCAGAACACGAAATCCAGTGCATCTCAGACGATTGAAGCCTAACGAAACATGATTTTGGGTACCGTAGATGGGTCATCGAAATTCAGTTCAAATTTCAAATGAATGTTTGCTAGATTTACTCGTCAATCCATTTCTCGTGGTCAGGAAAGTATCGATAATGTGTTCTTTCAACATAATCCATGACGGCAGGAAGAGATTGCACAAGTTCTCTAGAGACCGGGACACTATTTGATGGATCAATTAACAACACACTATTTGGACCATGGACAAAAAGCCTACCTGGTGCTTACGTGTATTGATATAATGAAACCAAAGAGACTTGCATCGGCTTGGGTTGGTTGGTCCCCACCAAGACACCAAAATGGATCCTTGTTGGCGGGAGCGGCATCTGATATGGGGTATCTTGAATGTTCCAGAAGTCCATTGAGACTTCACCATATCTCCTCTCGGAATACCATTACCTCCTCAGAAGTGAACCGTTCAGTTCCCTGGCCATACCGTGTGTAGCTTTAGTCTGACGATAAGCGAGAAATCCAATTAGAACACGCATAGCATACGGGATGGATCCTAGGACCTTATCTCTTTTGAACATAGTAATTATCCATCATCGCTCTCGAATCTAGAGCCCAAGACCAGTTATGCTATGCCGCTATCTGACGAGGTAATATAATTACTGTCGTACTCACTCCATGAAAATATAGCTTATCCTCAAGAAGAGCACAAATTGCCATGTCTTGAGTTTCTGCTGCCGGCTCCAATGATGAATTGAGATCAGGTAGAATATCTGATTCTACTAGCCCTGCTATAATGAGTGCAGAATCGACAAGCACAAAAGGAGACGACCCCTCATTGTGTACTGAGATATATGGTATCTTCCCTTTCGATGCCGAGCGAGGTGAGCCGCTATCCAAAATATACTTCATGTTGGCTTGGCGGAAGTGGAATTCAATTTTGGTAATAAATGGAGCCCATACTTAATTTCCTGGATCTAGCCAGCCACGGAAGAGAGTGATTTTCATGATGGATAAGTAGCTTAGAAACCTTCGAGAGAACTGGAAATTTGAGATATCTATTGGTTTACCTTTGTGGTGATTATGATGTCCTCATAACAAGTCTAATCGATCATATTGTATTGGTGTATGTATTCTAGGCTCAGAGCTACAAGAGCTAGGTCCGTAAATGCAATACGTTTGTACGCACGCTAGCGCGCGCTTACGTCTGCTTATTCTTTAGTATGAAATCCCATGAAGATCTGATTGAAGAAAATTGTGAAGAATTCAGAGAGTAATTTTCTGCTATGATCCTCTAATGGTAATATAACGGTTGCACCAACAGTTGGAGTAACATATACACAGGGGATTCATGTAGTAGTCTGAACCAATTTTGAGCCTGTTTCAATTGATGACCAAAAGGATCATGAGAAATGATACCTGTTGTCCAGCTATGTCTATATCTTGATAGAAACAGATAATTTGAGTGCCACATCCTCGAAGATCATTTTGACAGGTGAAAGAAGTTACTTGTGATGATGGCTTTATTGTCGTTCATTTGCATCATTCATATGGTGATATATATTAACAAGCTTGATGTTCGGAAGTCGGGAGTCGGATAAATCACTCCGAAGCACGGGGGTTGCCGAGACATATTACCATAATCATCACCTTCATTGGATTCAATACTCTGAGCACATGGCAAACATTCATCAAAGGTTTCACAATTAACTTCTACGAGTGAATCACACGTGTTGATATCGCCGATATAACAAAACGGGACTAAATTAAAAATGAGATGAGGTTTAGTTTCTTTTGCAACTTTTAATAAACTTCAATCCGAACAACCTCCTTGCGTGGATTGTTAGGTCATCTTTGATCAATTCAACAACCATTCAAATGAGTAATTCAATCGATAATCGAACGGCGGTCGACCGTCTACGAGCGTTATTTAACAATCCCAATCCTGGACCCGAATATGAACCTATCTCGAGCAGTTCTAGTATTCACGAAGACGATGTACGCAGACCAGTCCTCGTCTTACCAGATCAAGCCGAAACTGAGCCCTTCTCATGGTTCGAATATGGAATCTTTATGTTAATCGGAGTGGCAATGCTTTGGGCATGGTATGTACCACTGACGTCTCGGGAGGGCGCAGAAGCTGATATCTTGACAGGAACATGTTCTTAGCAGCGGCGCCATACTTTCAGAGCCGTTTCCAAGACAATGAGAGCATTCTTCAACATTTCCAATCTGCGATTACATCCGTTGGAACAATTACGAACCTTGGCTCGATGCTACTCCTAAGTCATTTACAATCGAACGCCTCGTACCCAAAACGTATCATAGCCTCCCTCGTTCTCAATACTATTGTCTTCACGCTTCTTGCGATATCCACCTCATACTTTCGCGATGTTTCGTCCAGTGGCTATCTAACTTTCACATTGATAATGGTATTCGCGACCTCCTGTGCAACTGGGCTTCTACAGAATGGGGCTTTCGCTTTCGCATCAAGCTTCGGACGACCAGAATACATACAGGCTATTATGACGGGACAAGCAATCGCCGGAGTCCTGCCATCAGCTGCACAAATTGCCACCGTTTTAGCTGTTCCGCCGCCCGACCATTGGGCTGATGTAAATGCCGAAGCTGCAGATGTGAAGGAAAATACAACTTCGGCATTTGTTTATTTTTTGACGGCTACAGTCATCAGTGTTCTAACATTAGTCTTTGTCTACCCCTTACTTCGGAAGCAGAATCGAATCCTTGAGAGTCGCGCGGCGTCGTCAGCTGACAGTGATGAAGAGACTGACGAAAATGGTAAACACGAGGTTGTTGGTATGGTTAGGCTATTTAAAAAGCTTTACTGGCTTGCAGGAGGAGTATTCATGTGTTTCGCTGTCACAATGTTCTTCCCGGTGTTCACGTCAAAAGTCGTTTCGGTAAGGCCTGCCGATGGAGCTCCTCGAATACTTCAACCCGAAGCTTTCATCCCCCTAGGGTTTTTGGTTTGGAATATCGGCGATCTTTGTGGCCGTCTGCTTCCACTTTTACCTTTCCATACCAAGGCACGACCTATTCCGCTTTTCGTATTCTCTATCCTTCGAATTGGCTTCGTTCCTTTGTACCTCCTCTGTAACATCGAAGGCAAGGGCGCAAAGGTCAATAGCGATGCATTCTACCTTCTGGTTGTTCAGGCTGGATTTGGGCTGAGTAATGGCTGGCTCGGCAGTTCTTGCATGATGGCAGCTGCTGAGTATGTTGATGAAGAAGAACGAGAAGCAAGTGGGTCTTTCATGATGACCAACTTGGTTGCTGGTTTGATGGCTGGATCTCTACTCAGCTTTGCTGTAGCCGGCATTTCCTAATTCATCAACTTATACTTATATAAGCATTGGTTTGTATTTATGGGACGGAGTTTAGAGCGAGACAATGCATGGATTGGCGTTGGAGATCACTTTACTAATGACCGAGATGATGATTGTTGATATCATGGAATATTTATGGGAGGGAAGTCTGGATTTTAAGCTTGCATAAGAACAGCGAGAGAATTTCGAATTAACTTTCTACAATTCATAAATGATTTTGTTTTGATGTGAGATGATTGTGCTAATATATTGTAAAGTGATAATGGAACGGCAAGAAACTCTCTGGTCAGTTCAGTGCCGTATATATCTAATTGTCTCTGGCTAATACTAAACTCTCCACATGTCCTTCGAGAACTACCTAAGCAACCGTGGATCTTTAGTGCCCTGAATTATTCTCTTTAATTGAAGTAGGATGTTCGTTTCAAGTACTTTCATTCAGTTTCAAGATATCTCGAAAGAATGGGAAAAGACTGGGTTCATAAGCTTATAGGGATAATACTTCCATCCCTACAAGGTAATCCATTATCCTTCCTTTCTTCTTTCCCTTGCGGAACTTTAAACGTGAACTCTTCTTCTTTTGTGAAAGTCCTTGGCTCGCACCTTCTACGTAGGGAGCCATAGCAACGATACTAGAAAGGTAGTAGCATTTGTTGAGAGATTTCCTTCTCAATCTGAGATTCACCGACCAAACCTTTCCTCGTGCTCAACTCCCACTCCCTCTTTTTTCAACAAGCCGTTGCACAAGACCCAATCAATCTACCAACTCACCTCTTCTTCAGTATTAGGACCAACCTTGATAAACTACTCTGATATCTCTACCTCTTTTCTATCTCAACTCGACAAACTTGGCTTTAGAGGTTCTTCATTGCCCACTCCAGTCTTCCATTTTACAACCATTTAAAGTCTCTCGATCCCTATTGAGACATTTCTCGTGTATGAGGGAACTACTTGGAAGTATTTGGCAGAGACATTAGCAGCAGTGCCCGATCACACAGCAGCTGATTGTAAGCAGATCTTTCTATTTGCACTTAGATTTTGACTGACAGTCCATTCGATTTCTTGCTATAGCAGCAAATTATATCTGGCAATCATCAATTATCGAGTTCAATTAAAGATATCTTGGGCGTCAGTTTTGATACATCGAGGTCAGTAATTTTTAAATTTTCTGAAAAAATGTTACCCCTTCGGGTAAAATTCCTCCATATTTTTTGTATCATCGAGGTTGGATACTCTTTAGATGTAAATACTAACATACGACTACAGACCATAAGACCCATCTAAAATTCTTCTGAAAAGTCTACTAATGCGATTTCTCCTAATTCCTTGATTTGAAACTCTGAGGGTGATCGAAGAAGGACGCTTAGCTATTCAATTGCTCACAATGAATTTCGGTTCCCACCATAACTCGACACTTGAATAGAAAGACTATTTCAAATAGGATTGTGATGCATTTTCTTTTCTGCCCAATTAGCCTCACCATCTTTCGCACATTTAAGCTCTTCTAAATATCACATTATCAACCGCGCTACTTTTACTTGCACACGCGAACTTCTACGCCAAGTACCATCTTGCTACTTCTGCCTGCTGATTCATTCGAAGTCTTCTATTTGACCACCTCGTTTTCAAATTCACTGAATTTTTTCTCTCATATCAAATTTTTTTCCCTTTAAATCAAGCCATTCTACTCACAACTGGAAAATCAACTTCCTACACTATCTCGGTTTACATTGGATTATAACTTCAACACCACCACAACAACAATCATCAAAGATTGCATCATGACCGACGACTCTAATGATGATCATAAAACTGAGGGTGAAGACGACGGCCTTTTGGCTTCACCATTACCGTCGCCAACACAACTTGATGTCAGTAATTTTCAATGCCCGCATCCAGATTGTGGCAGATCCTATGCTTCCAAGCATGGACTTGACAATCATAATAGAGTTCATTTCACTGATAACGAAAAGCCTTTCGCCTGTCCTCATCCAGGATGCCTATCAAGATATACGAATAAGAGAGGAGTTACTCGTCACTTCAATCTCAAACACAAAGACAAAAGTGACTGGTTCAACTGTCCTACGGCAGAGTGTGATTCTTCTTTTTTTGATGAACGACAGCTCAAGTTGCATCAAAGAGAGCATGGACTATTTCGCTGTACTGCGAGACACTGTGTCTATGAGTACACCACCGAGCAAGAGTTATATGATCATAGAGAGGTAACAGTTCATCACAACGCTTCGCACACTCAAACACACTTAATCACTAACACATCTTAAAGCGTAACCATACAACTTCTGACCTATATGAAGATCGTACTAGCAAGCGACCACCAGGAATGTCTAAAGTAGAAGAAGACCTGCCTGCACAAGCTTCAAGCGGAGAGGAGACCGGAGATGAGATCGTTGTCGACGAGAGTTCAACAAAACCAGAATTCTGCGAGGATGAAGATAACTTTGAGAATAGTTCCCCCTTCAAGACGCCTACACACGGGAGAGGTAGTAAAAGAGGCATTACAAAGAGAGCTTCGTTGAATACGGAGAATTATCCTGCAAGACCTAACTGCAAAGGCTGGAAATGTCCCAAACCTGGCTGTACAGTCTGTCGCAAAGTACAGTTTGATATTATTACTCATTGGCAGGTATGCACTCTTTCTTGATATCTTCAATTTCTACCTGGAATAAAGTGATTGATTTGCTATTCTTTGATACGAAATCCGAATCTCTTTCATTTTAAATATGGCAGTCAAGCATTTGTTAACTGTACTACTTTGTTAGGAGGCACACAGTGATATACCAGAACCAGCTCATTTTGAATTTGTCCATGGTCCGAAGTCATCCGAGAATACAGCTACTCCTAGATTTGGGGTCAATGGCCATCGGCTCGGAGGTAAGCCTTGTCATTTCGTTTAATTATACAGCAGTTGTATTGTATGGTAACTTCTTTACGGCTCCCCACTTTCATTGTTCCTTCTTCTTTTAAATAACAACACCATTTCCTTTCCTATTCCTACTTCATACCCTTTGTTTTTAATATTGTTCATAATATACTGCAAACATGAATGATATAAAGGACGACAGCAGTGAAGAAGACAGTCACTCACACCCTCGTGCAAATATAGGACAGTCTACTTCTGTTGGTCAGCCAGGTCACCCCGACCAAGAAGGGGCAAGTAGAAGTAATGCCAATGATGGTGCTCGAGGACTAAATTCTCAACAACAGAGGGGAAAGGGCGACAATACTACAGGAAACAAGGTATGTTTGATGATTTTTCTTTCCAATTTATGTAACTGTATTAAACATTTGTTTGTTGATTCCTTCCTTCAACAAATTTCGGACATTCAACATTGTATATTGATTGAATAGAGAATGGACAATAGCAGATCTGTTAGTCTTTCATCGGCTTTCATTCATTCATTTGTCAAGGATCTTGTCTTATAACCTTCCATCTCTACAACTTATTCCCTCTTCCAAAATCATCTTTCACAACAGTTTAGGCTAATTCAACGCTCACAGAACACAAATATGAATGGCTTAAGCGTACCAAACGCTGCTACATCAACCCCTTCCATCGCTTCTTCTCGTTTGCCTGCGGCAACAAATACTCAAGGCCACACTCCAAGATCTAACAATGGTCGTCCCATTATCCCCCCCCCACGCCACGCACCTAATCTCGCTCGTCCAACCACCACCATCTTGGCTAATTTTACTGGCAATCTTTCTGGTCCAGCTGAAACGCCTTCAATCAACAACCGACGTAAGAAGGCAGCGGTTGGCCATCCCACTCAGAGGATTCACGCTCGTGCAACGGAGGCCCGCCGTATGAGTCCTCCTCCTGCTAGGAGCAACCAAGGTGCAAAGTCTGCTGTCGCTTTGATCAACACCCGATTGCCTCCTCAAAGACACTCTCAAGTCTCTTCTCCCGATTCTTCCCGTCGCGCCTCTCCTGTGAGCTCCGATGAAGAAGAGGAAGGCGAGGAGGAGGGTCTCTTCGTCTCGCCACCTGATACCACCAAGAATCAGACCAAAGGTCCTCGCCGCGTATTAGGTGTTCGAGGCTTTGCCAATATGCCATTGCCTAGAGATCAAGATTCTGACGAGGAGGATCTTAGACCAAGTCATGTCTTGAGACAAGAACGCCGTGCTGCTGCCGGTAAATCCTTGAAGCCTGATCATGCCCAAGAATTTCTTGGTGCGAGTAGGAAAATCTACGGTCAACCTAGGAAGATGGGAAAATCCACCAAGTTTTTTGCAGCCCGATCAACTGATTCAGATGAAGATTCAAATTTTGAGGGCAGCGAGTTGAATGTAAGCTAATTGTCTCATTCTATTATGTTTAATATGGTCAGTTGTATATACTAACAGATAACAGTCATCCGGTAGCTCTTTTGGAGAAACTGAAACCCATCACCCCGGTCGTCGTTCAACAAACCACGTCAACGCACGTGCCTCTAACTCTGTTCATCGTCGCTCCTCTGTCAACAACGGCGATCCCCCAAGAACTCCTTCTCCTGATCTTCCTAGATACCAACCCTATGAAGTCTACGGTCCAGATCTCGACTCTCCACCCCCATCCTATCTCATCAAATCACCTGGTGTTATCGACCGCACTCTTCCATACCCCAATCGTCCAGAAGACAAAATGCTCCCTGATGTTGCTGCAGTTCAACCCGACGACCTTTTCGATGCTGATGACATCTTTTTTAGCTTTCGAGACATGACTCCACACGAAAGAGAGGTACAGGATCGTCTTGATGCAGAGAAAGAAGCCATGAGAGCAAATGCCTACGGCTCTGGATTCCGCGCTCCATTGCATTTTGATCATTGTCCCCTCACAGCTCCAATCTGTCGTGCCGAGCGGGCAGCTTGGATTGCGGAGAGATTACGTCTCGATGTTGAGGAAGCTCGTGGTGATGAATCTGAAGATCCTGAGACACCATCAAGAATGGACCGCGATGATGATCGTCGCTCTGATGTTGACGTGGAAATGACTGGTACCGGAACATCTGCTTTATCAAAGAAAAAGAGAGCCACTTGCTCGGGCCCAGTTCGTGAAAAGAGAAAGTACAACTGGCGTGATCCAGTTAGGAAGAATAAGCGTCGTAAAGGAAGTTTTTCCGGCATTACATCTCGTCGTGACAGCACTCGCCGTTCTTATTCTGGTGGAAACTCTCAGATTGATGGTGCCGAAGAACAGGAAGAAGTAGTCGCCGAAAGCCAAAAGCCAAAATGGGCATGGAGTGACGCGCATCGAGCTGTGATCAATACACGAAAGCCTGTTGAATTGGTTCGTCCGGACGCTTTGGCTACTGAAGGCGGCACTGCGCTTCCTCGCCTTGTCGATCGTGCCCCCGTTAGTCCTTCTGTTGGCTCGGATAACTTGAATGCTTCGGGTGTTTTCACTGCTGCGGCTGGTAGCGCTAACGCCTCCTTTGTCTCTAGCGATGGATAAATGGATGTCTATCTCAATGACTCATGAATTAGTTTTAGTTTTCAGGATGCTTAATGGGTGGGGCAAATTGATGGTTGCTTAGTTTGTGGGTAACGAATTTTGCTGGGGACTCGATATCAAATCTGTTCAAGGCGTTGGGAGTGGATGATGGTTGTTATTTCTCGGAGCTTGCATGTTGAATAGATCATCATCAAAGATGGCAGATCTAATTGAGATAGGTTTCATATATTATGGATGGCTGAGAGACCTCAGCAAGATAAATTGAGATAGTTCAATTAGGTAGTTAGCAGTAATCTAAAACTGTATTTTATTGAATACTTGAGTTCTTTGATTATTCTGGACGTTCTGGATGGAATTATTAAGATGATTAGTGTGTGCTAATAGCTCAAACATACTTACTGAATAGTTATGTGATATGATTACTGAGATTGTTCTTATTGATTTGGTTATTAGGCTTGTCTGATGAGTGAGTGGGTGATGGGTGATGGATGGGTCATGGTCTCATGGGTATCTCCTTTCATAATGCTGCCTCGTTGCGATGTCCGGAGGAATATTGACAATTGACATAATTCGTCTAGATACAAGGAGAAGAATACATCTTTCACTATGGAATCTGGAGAGCGTGAGAAAAATTTGTGTAATGTATGTATATGGATGGTAAATGTGATATTAAATATCCCGCTAAACCTCAAAAATGAAATTACAATAAGTAGGTAGGTATCTAGAAAATCCATAACACCAACTTGAAATCAAGCCCAAAACTTCCAATCCAATGAAACTCCCCTCAAAAATTCATATGCACCATATAGTGCATATCCTCACATACCCAATTGAGAATCCGATACATAATGAGTCCCCCCCGCACATCGATACCCACCAACCTGTTTAATCCACTGATACCCCATAACGCAAACTCCCAGATTCCTCAATTTTTCCTGCGCTTGCGCCTCTTGTTTTCTCCTCTGCTCCTCTTCCGATCTTCTGCGTTCGCGTTCCTGCTCCATGCGTTCTCTCTCCGCCTTAGCTCTCAACTCACGAAGTCGCGCTTCCTCGCGCAAACGAAGTTGTTCTTGCCATTCGGCTTCATTTTTGGCTTGGATTTGTCGCAGGGCTTCCTCCCTGGCTTTGCGCTCGGCTTCTTCAAGTGCTCGCATTTCTTCTAGCTTCTTGCGCATTTCATCGGCGTAGTGTTGTGCTTGTTCCTCGGCGGCCTTTTTGTCCCGCTGTAGTTGGGTCCATGTTGCGTCGGAAACACCCGCATCACGTCCATCGTCAGTATCCGGTTCGTCATCCTCGAATAATGGTTTTGGGGGCTCATCATCATGCTTGTCCTTGGGTGCATTTTTAGTCGCGGTAGAAGTATTGACGGAAGTTGAGGGGGGAGTAGGTGGTTGTTGATTGTTGCTCATGACTGGTGCATCTTTTGACAAATTATGTCTTGGTTTTCCTTGCACGTGAGCCCTGTCTTTCTTGCTATCAATCATGTCTTTTATACAAGCCATGGCATCGTCGTATGATAGATTGATGTTGGGATTAGTAGACGAAGTATTCGTGGCAGATTGGTAGAATGCACGTGTCATGCTCTTAGCGAGTGTAATCATATCTCTTGCGTTGCCCCAAGCAGGCAGTTTGGAGAGCTCTGCAATCAAATCCAAGAAAGGCTGGTGATTCGTGATATCTTTCAACCCGTCGATAGAGATATTCTCTTTTTCCAAGGCATTTTGTAGAACGAGAAGAGAATCTTTGGGCGTAAGAGCCGGAAAATTTATCTCATCAGCAAAACGGCTATTCAAGCCTTCATTTTTGGTAAGGAGAGCATTTATATCTTTTTCATATCCTGCAAGAATTATGATCATTTTACCGGCGAATTTGGGTTTAGTCATGGACTAGAATATCCAAGAGTTAGTGATTGCATAGAATGAAGCTTGTTAGCTTTACGGATAGGAATAGCAATGACTGAAGTGACAACAGACGATGCACTAAGCATGCCAAGTAGGATCCACCATTGAAGTGAATCAGTATCAGAATAAACAGTAACTCACATCAACTAGTTCATCAATAGCTTCTTGGGAGAAATGACCCTGCCCAAGTCGATATGCTTCGTCGATGAAGAGAACTTTTCCCAGGCCAAGCTCAAGTTGTTTAACTGTTTTTGGACCAGTCTGCCCAACATATTGGCCAATAAGGTCTGATGCAGAACATTCAACAACTTGTACCTCCGACAGAAATCCTAAATCGTAATAAACTTGGCCAATCTTCCGGGCAGTTGTAGTCTTCCCAGTTCCTGATATTTGAGTTAGCATATCTGAATGTATTACGTTTTAATGGAGCAGTAAATACCTGGCGGTCCTTTGAATATAAAATTCATTGGTATTTGTGAACGAGGGTCTTTCCCAAGCTTTCTCATGCCTTTCGCAACTTTCACATATCCATCAAGCTTCGCAATGATAGTATCACATCCTGTGATACCCTTGAAGAGATCTTTGAGATTTGTTTCTGCACCGGATGCTCGATCAAAGTCTGGATCAAAGTCTTCTGGCTCAAACAAGAAATCGATAGATCGTTGACCAACAGGCAATTTTGACTGTCGAGAAAGGTAGTTTTTCTTTGCCTTGGATATCAAATTCTCCACGTCGCCCCCGTTTCCAAAATTAAGCCCGTTTCGAGCTCTTGCGAGTAGATCTATGGCAACCGCTACTGCTTTCTGAGTTGCGTCGAGCCCATATGCACTCAGCTTCTGTTGTAGAATCTCCTCGAGCTCTTGGTCATCAAAGTCGGCGAACTGGAAGCCATCGGCAGGAGGAAAGCGTCTTGTTAAGCCCGGATTAACATTCTGAAACATCTCAATCATTTTATCTTCGTAGCCTAGAAGTAATACACAACGGTCATCACCAGGTACGCTTTGTATCTCGGCAACAATCGTATCTATCACTGCTGTTCTGAAAATATCAGAGCCTCCGCCTCCACCATGACTACCCTTAGAGCTAGGGTAAAGCATGTATGCTTCATCAATGATTAGAACTTTCCCAACGGTAGTTGCAAGAATATTTTTCGTGTTTTCCTCCGATTGTCCTATATGACTGCCAACAAAATCGGCTGGATTCTTTGTAACCACTATAAAAAAATTAGAAATATATCACAAGCTAAAAGAAACGCGTTCCATATGACCAAAAAGTCTCTACTCATAAGAACATATGATCTTACCTTCCCCATTGCTCAGAATTCCTAGATCTGAGAGAATACGACCATATAGCTTGGCTACTGTTGTTTTCCCAGTACCTGGAGAGCCAAGGAATACACGATTCAATGATACCGCAATGATTGGCTTCTGTTCCAGCTCTCGTTTGTAGTTCGTCTTGATGACTTCGATCATGAATCTTACAGAGTCTTTGACAGATTTCAAACCTGTAAGGCTTTGGAGCTCATCCCATGCCTTGCATTTCAAAATTGCTTGGGATGGGTCTGGTCCTATCAGGTCTTCCTTGGTAATAAGATTGTCGTCTGGACCGAGGCCATCCCTGCGCTCTTCAGTCAAGCGATCTGCTTGTCGTTCACGAATTCTCGCAAACATGTTCTCTAAAGCTCGCGCATTCCCGAAACCCTCTCGTCCCCTGCCCCTGCCCAGTCTTTGCACCGCAATTTGCATGTAAAGTCCATCTTGACCGTCTTCTATCATCATCGGAGATGGATAGAATTTTTGGATCTGATATTGCAACATTTCAAGGAGTTCATCATCAGTATAATCTTCAAAATGAAGCGTGTATGGTAGGCGTGATTGTAGACCGGAATTGTGCTCGAAGAACTTCTCCATCTGCTTGCGATATCCGGCGAAGACGAAAACAACTTTGCCCACAAGATTTTCTATTTCTGTAAGAAGATAGTCCAAAACTGTCTTTCCACCGACATTATGTCCTTCTGTCAATTGGTAAGCTTCATCAATGAAATAAACTCCGCCCTGAGCACTGTGAAGAATGGCTAAATGTTTTTTGACATCATTTACCCCACCATGCGCAAGATGGCTGCCGGTTGTCTCAACAAATTCATCGCCAGGAAGAACTTGTAGTGTTGTCAAGATCCTGGCGTAGAGTCTCGCCACTGTTGTTTTACCTGCTCAAAGTTAATAGGGATCTTAACTGGGTATAGGGATCGAGTGATGGGTTTCCAATAGTCCTTTGGCAGTTTTGTTTTACAAAACGGCTCACGCAGGCCCGAATCCATATGGAGCTTTTGTATCAACGGCCGTGCTTGTGAAATAATTGAATCCACTGAATCCTTAATTTCATCGGGACTATAGAATCCACTCGGATCATGGAGCTGTATTCAAGAATCCAGAGCTTTTGGAATATCGAACGAACTCTATTTATTGAATTTGGTTCGCAATCGGTACTGTTGAAAACCCTTCGAATGAAAGAGCACTTACCTGTTCCAGGATTACCTAACAAAATCAAGCCCAACCTTTCTTTTGTGAGATCTGTCCCTTGACGCTTGGAAGTTTCGACTTTTGCCTTAATTCGCAGTACCTGAGATTTTACATCTTCGAGGCCAATCATCTCCATGATCTTATCTATGGCTGGATTTATCGCATTCTCCTGGTCCTTTTGTCGTTGCCACTCGATCTTCGATGCCGAAGTTTTCTGACCAACTCGCGTCTGAAGTTTCTTTGGAACATTCTTGCTTTTTGGGGGAGATTGTGTTTGAATTGTGTGGGGTTGCGAAGGTGCAGCACCTGAAGTACTGGCAGGTACTCCACTGGAAATGACGGGAGAAGAAGCAGTAGGAGCCGGTGGCTTACTCGTGGTAGTGGATGTTGATTTGACTACCACCGGTTTCGACTGCATTTGAATTAGACGGTCTTTGATGGTAGATAGATCCTTTCTTTTCTGTGCTAGAACCGCTTCTTGTTCTGATCTCAGCTGGGAGTCTTGGATCTCTTGATGTACCCTATCGAAATCCTTCTGGAGTTTTTCAAGCTCTTTCTGATGTTTTTGCCTCATTTCCTC